GGCCTCAGCATCCGGCCCCCATTCAAACCTTGCCTTTTTCTTAATTGCCTGGAAAAAGTATAGGCATTTGTCGCCTGATCGGCTTAGGAATCTCCCCAAGGCCGCCAGACAACCTGTTAACTTCTGAACCTCTCGGACGATACGAGGCGACTGCATGTCAATGACCGCCTGTACACATTTCTTGGGATTGAGCATGACATGGTGCCGCCTGAGTGTGGCGAAAGTTTCTCGGAGGTCCGTTAGATGATCTTTCTGAAGTTTAGTCTTGACAATCATATCATCAATATATGCCTCGACGTTTCTCCCAATCTGATCAAAGAACACTGTGTTTATCATTCCTTGGAAGGTAGCCGGGGCATTCTTAAGACCAAACGGCATGACCGTGTAACAGTATAACCCCTGATCAGTGACGAAGGGCGTCTTCTCCTGATCTTTCTTCCATAAAGGAATTTGATGGAAACCAGAATAGGCGTCCATAAAACTCATCAAGGCATGGCCGGCTGTTGAGTCGACCAGGTTATCAATTTTAGGCAGAGGGTAACTGTCTTTGGGGCACGCCTTGTTTAAGTCTGTGTAGTCTACACACATTCGCCAGGTGCCATTCGGCTTTTTAACAAGCACCACATTTGCAACCCAGTCTGGGAAGTAACATTGCCGAATGAACCCTGCATCAAGTAATTTTTTGACTTCGGCGGCTGCCGCCTGACTTCTTTCTTCGCCATGGTTCCGCTTCTTTTGCCGTACCGGCTTCTTTTTCGGATCCACAGCGAGTTTATGTACTGCCAGATCAGGACTAATGCCTGGCATTTCATGGACTTCAAACTTTGACTGTTCGGTCAGGACGTGAGTCGTCTAAGATCAGGTCCGCATGCTCACCAGCCGGCTGAGGGCGGAACTCATCCGGCCGTTCCTCTGCCAATGATTGCTATTTTCTTGCTTTTCTTGCGGACTCTGTCTGGGACGCCTTTCTCTTTTTGTCGCATGTTTCTTGAACAGGCGCACTCTCCTTGACATTGTCAAGGTCTGTTTTTTCTCCACTTGACCCAGTGGCCATAACAGTGGGCTTGACATCCGAGAGATAGCACTCTCGGGCCATCCTCTGATCTCCCCTTAGGGAGCCGACTGTTCCATTATCCCTCTCAAACTTAAGCAGCATAAGAGACGGGATTATAACAGCCTTGGAATTATTCAGGGTTGGTCGACCCAGAATCATGTTGTAGGCCGAGAGTTCCTCTACTACTAGGAATCGGACTACCATGTGACGTCCTTCCCCTTTTTCGCCCAGGCGAATGGGTAAATCTACTCGTCCCAGTGGGTGGACGACTCCTCCTCCAAACCCTATTAAAGGGTGGGAGGCCGGATGTATGCAGTCCGTCTGATATTTCAGTTTTGACAGACATTTGCTGCTGATGAGATCTGAGGAGCTCCCGGTATCTATGAGGATTCGGCCAACTCTCTGGTTGGCCACTTTACATTCAATAACAAGAGGGTCGTCATGCGGCCCCCTTACCCCTCCTAGATCCTCTTCAGTGATGACAATCTCAGGAAATGTATATTTGGACGGCCGTTCTTGGTGAACGGAATTTACATCTAACCGCCTTATATTATCTTTGTTGCCCCTAATAGTGGGGCCGCCTCCTGAGAAGCCGCCTGCAATGGTGTAGACGACTGCATCATCTGTATCGGAACTGTCGGCCTGTTGATTCTTTTTGGCCGACTGCTTTTTTGAGGAAGTGTTCCCCGTAGATTTCTTGACATAAGTGTCAAGATCACCTTGCTCAGCCAAGCGGTCTAGGTACCGCATGAGACTGATGCAGTCATTGGTGTGATGACCTACGTCATCATGATAAGCACATATTTTGTCTTGGTTCCGGTTGTTTGCAGAACCCTTCATGGGGAGCGGCTTCTCAATTGAGAACCGTCCTTTTATTTCTTTCAGGATAAACTGGTTATCCTTGTTAAACACATACTTTGGGGAGTATGGTTTGAATTCTTTTTTCTTTTTCTGGGCCGGCTGTTTAGTGGAATCAGCCGCCCAGACCTCTTTTCTTTTCTCATCTTTGTTAGACGACTGTTTCTGACGTCCTTCTCTTTTGTCGAACCTTTTCCCGTCCGACTGTTTTATCGTACACAGATCAGTCGCCTGTATATAGGCTTCTGCTTCAATCAAGGCCTCTTGAAGAGTCGCCACCCTTTTTCGAACTAAATCAAATTTGAAGGTAGACCCGTCTTTGAGACCTCTAAAAAAGTCAGTATAAGCTACCTCATCCGGTAACCCTTGAATCTGTATTCTCATCAGGTTGAACCGCCTGATGTAAGAACGAAGCCCCTCCTTCTCGCCCTGCTGAATTGTTCCCAAATCAAGGGTCGTTTTCTTCGCAGGGATGTTCATGGCGAAGTTGGAGGCAAATAAGTAAGCAAGCGTCCTGAAGCTGTTTACACAACCAGTCGGCAGGTTGCCGAACCATTGCTGTGCGATTCCCTTGAGAGTCGCTGGGAAACACTTGCACCAAGTGGGATCATCCAACCCTTGAAGGTACATCAGGTTGGTGAAAGCCATCAGATGGTCTTCTAGGTTAGTAGTGCCGTCATAGGCGCCTACTAGTACATTTTTTACTTTGGCCGGCTGAGCGGCTTCAGTAATTTCCTTGGAGAAGGCCGACGGCTGTTCACCAAGTCTAAGCAACCGTAGCTGCCAGTCCATAGGTTGGACGTTTTTTGCTGCAGGTCCACCAAACGGAGGCGGCTGCAAAAAATACTGTTGTTGCGGCACAAACAGTAAGTTTGGTACCGCCTGGTCACTATGAAAGCCAGACTGACAGGAGGTGCCGCCTGACTGACTCTCATGATACGACTGCGTATGCCTCATTGAGATATTTCGCAGACTGTCTTGGAAGTTTGAAGTAGAGGCCGACTCTGACAACCGGTCACTCTTCTTTTGCTCTAGCAGTAGCCGAGCATCTGTGAACGTTTGCTTTGACCCGTCCGCCTGAATATGACGAACCGGTTTCCTATTTCCCGTAGGATAACGGAATTTTGTGAAATCAAGAGCAAGTGGCTCCCGCTTCTTGGATTTAGGATGAGGAGTCGCCTCTCGCCCTTGAACTGGCTTCCTCTTCAGTGAAGTGGAAGGTTTTTTGGCCGACTGCTCTTTGACTGACGCAGGCGGCTTTTTGTTGATCAACTCTTGAATCTCTCCCTTGAAATCCCTCATGAAGGTCATGAGTTCGTTCCTTGTGATGGGAGCAGACCCATCAGTCGGCTGTTGCCGAGCAGGCGGTGCGCCTGCTGGCTCGCTTCCTGTTTGAAGATGCTCCCGTTCCCTCCTTTCGGTATGACGGGTACGTCGGGCCCTTAGGGTCCCGTCTGGAGCTGTATGAGTTTCCACTTCAAATTCACTTTCGGTATCATGGTCCGACTGAACTTGAGGGTCGTCTAGGGGACGCCTCTCTTCAGGAGTCGGTACAGACTTGGATGCCATCTCTGAAGTACTCTCCCCACAGACGGCGCCAAATGTTTCGGGGTTTTCTGATGTCCTGCGGGAGAGTTACAATTCCGAGACTGGAACCGGACGCCTGTACCTGCAAAATAACGGAGACTCCTGAGAGCTCCGCCTCCAACGATCAAGTTAGTACCTGATTAAGGAGTAATTAATACGGAAATTAAAGTAATAAGATCTCTCTAGGTGAGACTGTTTAATGTTGGTAATCTGCGTCGTTAGCGAGATTAGCCGGTTATTAGTGTTCCGTAATATTTCTGTTCTTCTCTGCTTGATTTCTTGATCTCTGGATTGCTTAATTAATGAGGATTAATTAAGTATTTATAGCCTTGAGAAGCGTGCCACTCTCTAGGTTTAGGGTAAACCTAGGGCTGACCAAGCCTCTAGACAGGATTGGGCCTTGATGGCCGGTTTTCCCATTTGGCATGGGTGGACACGTGGCGTGCCTCGATTGGTCCGTAGAGGACGTATCTGTGATTGACACGTGGCAGGCTCCTATTGGCCTTCGTGAAGGACACGTGGCGGAACCTGGTTGGTCCACTTGTCAGACGGTGATTGGTGGATAAAATTCCCCTAATCACATGTTATTTTGACATAAATTTTTTTTCCCACCAATTTGTTATGATGATGTCATTAGTTTTTTTTTTTTATTTTTTATCTAATAAACTTTTGATATACTTTATCCTTTGTCGTTATCGAGGTTTTATTTTAAGTATATTAACATTTCAATGTTCAAAAGTGTTTATTATAATTTTTTTATTTTTTTAATATTTTATAAGTAATATGCTTACAATAGAAATTACTTATTACCATGTATACAAAAAATTACAGAGTAGAAAACTTTCTTTCTCATTATTATAATTATAAATAAACCTTACAATGTGTTTTGTTTAAAACCGTGCATCGCACGGAAACTAAACTAATGCTCTAATAATCTAAGGTAGAGTTACTAAATTCATTTTTATGTTTGATAAATGAGGTAAGAGTTAATTAATTATAATAAGGCCTAATAGCATCTTGTATATATAAGGACCAATAGGGTCTAATAAGGGTTAAAAAGTTCTAATAAGATAACACGATGTATAAGATAAGAGTTGATTAGTCTGATAACAACCCGTTTTGTGTGTGGCCGTTTGTAAAAGAACAAATTAACCCCTATAACACTGACCAAGTAACCCCTATAACACTGACCGAGTAACCCCTTTAACACTGACCAAGTAACCTCTATAGCACTAACGAATTAACCCCTTTAACACTGACCAAGTAACCCCTATAACATTATGAAGTAACTCCTATGATGGCTGGCCAAAGCGTGTGGCCAGCTACATATAAAAATTTATGATCGGATAATATAATATAAACGCTAGTAAGTAGTTCATGATTAATAAAATAAGATAATATAATATAAGTGAAAAAACATAGGTTTTATTTATTTATTTATTTTAATTATACTTTATTTTATAAGTTTACTAATGGGTTCTTCAATTGTTTAATGTTGTAGACTTGGAATTCTTAGAAGAGTAATTATGAGAAAGTTTAGTGTGGGAAATTGGCAATGGCGAATAAGGTATGTATGTGTTCATGTCTTAATTTTTTTTTAAACAAAATCTAAACCAAACGAATTGTCATAATGATTTTTTTTCCTTTTTTTGTACTGTAAAATTAGTCTGCAATGTCAATAATGTTTGGAGATTCAATGTAATATGGTAAGAATGCAAGATAACTGATTAGTAGTAACCTATATGCATGATATTATAAAATATAATGGTACAATTTCCTTGAATAATTACGTCTTGTTTGCGGCTATCCACACTATGTGACCACTTGTAAAAGAACAAAATCACTCTTATAATATTGACCAAGTAACCCTGTAATACTGATCGAGTAACCCCTATAACACTCACTGAGTAACACCTATAACATTGACGAAATAACCCCTTTAACACTAACGAGTAACCTTGTCTACGATCACTGGCCACACCGTGTGGCTAGCCTCATATAAGAATTTGTGTTTCTCAAATGTTAAATTATGAGTTAAAAAGATGTATCAAACAATATTACTCTTTTTGTCATCATTCAAGGTAGTGTATTGTTCTCTTTATCTAAGAGGAAATCCAAGTTACTCGAGCTAAGTAACAATTCATGTTACTCAAGGGACATAATTGTCATTTTGTCTGTCTAAGTAGGGAGGAAAATAGTAGGCCACGATTTAATTGCTTTCTTCATCCTCTCCATCTCAGATTTCCTCCATTTTTGGCTCCTTCATCCTCCATAGTCTAGCTTCCTTTATCAACGCCTCCTCTATTTCCATCACCTAAGGTAGTTAAAATTGATGCCGTGAACAAGATGCTTCCCCTAAGGGGTTGATATGACCCTACTTGACACTTTTTATTACTAGGGTTTCGTTTTGTTCCGCCGCAAAGTGGCGTTGTGGGCTTGAGAATGGACGAAGAAGAGGAGGTCGATGGGGGAAGAAGAAGATCAGAGGTCAAAGGGCTTGAGAAAGGACGGAGGTCGACGGGCTTGAGAAAGGACGAAGAAGATCGGAGGTTGACGGGCTTGAGAAAGATTAGAGAAGAGGAGGTCGATTGTGGTTGTTGTGATGTGTTCGGCGAAGTGATAATGGTAGTTGTGATGATGGTGGTGGATGTGATGGTGGTGAAAGTCGACGGAGAGAAATGAAGAAGAAAGGACTGCCAGCTATGGAGTAATCTGGGCGGAGAGAGATGAAGAAGAAAGGATTGCCAGCTATTTCAAGACCAATATTTACAAGATTGCCATTTGAGTCACAATATTTGTTACTCAAATTGAGTAACCAGTGCTCCCTCTATATCTAATGAGCTTTACTTATCTTATTACTATGTATTTTCTTATCTTTTTTTTTTACACACGTATTATCTTATCTTATTAGTCCCAAAATAATCTTTTAGTTGAATTTATCAATTCTTATATAACTTTAAATAAATTTATTTCACAAACTTTTATATGTGGCTGGCCACACCGTGTGGCCAATCATTATGGCAGTTACTTTGTTAGTGCTACAAGAGTTACTCTTTCGGTCAGGGGTTACTAAGTCGGTCAGGGGTTACTTGGTCGGTTAGGGGTTACTCGGTCAGTCAGGGGTTACTAAGTCGGTCAGGGGTTATTTGGCCAGGGGTTAATTACTCGATCAAGGGTTACTAAGTCGATCATGAGTTACTCGGTCAGGGGTTAATTGGTCGGTTAAGGGTTACTCGGTCGGTCAAGGTTTACTTGGTCAGGGGTTACTAAGTCGGTCAGGGGTTACTCGGTCAGGATTTACTTACTCGAACTGGGGTTATTAAGTCGATCAGTGATTACTTGGTTAGGGATTACTCGATCGGTCAGGGGTTACATGGTCAGAGGTTACTCGTCGATCAAGGGTTACTTGGTGTGTGTCAGCTGGCCACATGGTGTGACCACCCGCACACAAAAGTTGCTGAATTTGTTTAGACCTTAGACCCTAGACTTTATCTTATCTTATTCAAAGTTAACAACCTTTTATTTTATAGTAGCCCTTATAGTACATTTATACTATTAGAATTTAGATCTTATTTATATTTTATTTTATCTAAATTTTACCTTAGTTAAGCGTATTATTAAATCCGAAATAAGTGAAAATAAGATGAGAATATTAGAGGTTAGATAAGGCAAATAAAAGTGCAAGTTTCATTTTTACTTGTGCATACACTTTTTAGAAAGTACAAATTAAAGCATATTTATTAAGTGATCTTGTTAATTAAGTTATTTTGTTTAGAGTGAGAGATAGCTCAAGTGATTAGAGCTCCCCTCCCGATTTCAGGTAATCCTGAATTGATTCCCATCACCTGTCCTTATAGCTCTAAAAAAAAAAAAAAAAAAAAAAAAAAAAACTTGTTTACTTACTTTTTGTTCCCTAACATGGGTTATGTCTTATGTGGTGCAGGTTGTCCATCTTGGAAAGCTTGTGATGATCCAACTTTGTAGAGGAGCTGATCTCTTTTGAATGGGCGTGTAAATAGATGAATAAAATTTTGGATGATTAGTTATTTTAAGCTAAATTTTGGATGGATAATGTTGTATGTTTATGCAGAAATGTTCCTGTATTTAGTCAAATCTCTGACGTTAAAGCATTCTTACTCTTTCCATGATTTAGCTAGAAGAGTGTATTTTGTAAATAACTAACAATAGATTATTCTTGTGATATTGTAAATGGAAAATTGGCCACAGTGACACCACCTGTTCGTTAGATACCCTATATCACCACCAATTATATTAGGTGCGTACAATGACATTTTTTACACTGGAGGTTGGAGATTCCACTAAAAAAAGTAAAATATTGTTTTTTTTTTTTTTTTTTTATATTGTAATACTCCATATTTTTATAATATTTTACATGTTTAAATTATATATTTTATTTATAAATTAAAATGATTCGTTTTATTTTAAATGAATTAATTATTTAATTACAAAGCAAGTGTGTATGTATAAATTATTATGAGCTATTAATTGGGCAATAAAGTACTTCAAATTGGTTTAACATGATTTAAAACATTGGACTAGCTTGTTGGGAATAAAGAGGTTTTTAAAGGCACAACAAACTAGCCCCGAAGGAGATTTTGAAAGGGATTAGGATTAGTAAAGAACAATTTTGTAAATAAATGTTTTTGGTTTTTAAAAGGGAATATCAATACCCAAAAGCTCAAGAATTTTTCACTCAAAAATGAAATTATCATATTTCACAAAAGACCCAAACTTTTTCTCCTCTTTTTCTCTCTCTTCTTTTTCCTTCTTTTCTTCTCTCTTTCCCACGCCTCTTTCTCTCCTCTTTCAACGCACAACCGACGACACCATCAGCCACCACTGGCCACCAGGGCATGTCGGCGATCAGCAGCAGCTGCCAGTACACCGCCGGTCATCCAACCACTCTCTGTCCTCTCCTCTTTTGCGATTTGGTATTAAGTAAATAAAAAAAAAAACTTCTTTTCTCCTATTTTAATTTCAAAGCTTGCTTATTTAATTTAAGGCATGATTTTAATTATATTTTGATGATGTTTTTGGATAGTTGATGTTGATTAGGGTATTAATACCCCGTCACGTGGACCAATTAGAGTTCGCCACGTGGACTAATCAGAGTCCGCCACGTGTCACCCTAAGGAGAGCCCAAAGTGGACCTACCAGGGTTTAACAAGTGGCAAACAAATATCCAATATAGGAATGGCAGCCTTCAAGGCCGAAATCCCTAAGCAGCCCGTCAGTCCTAGGTTTTTGTAACCTAGAAAAGGCACGCATTTCAAGACCCTATATAAGGGAGATGTTTCCTCCTAGGAAACGGGTTTAGAATATTCAATACATTGAATACACATGAGAGAAACACTCAGATATTTAGGCAGTCAATGATTGCCGAATAACACATTCTCACCGTAGAGAAACTTGATCTCGGAATCCGAGAGGATATTACTTTACTTTTCGCACTTTTTACATCTCCCGAACGCGTTCTAACTCGATCGTCGGAGGCGGAGCTCCTCCCAACCTGAGTTTTCGTTGTTTTGCAGGTACAGGTGTTCGGAGTCCAGTCTTGGTGTTGTAACTCTTCCGAGGGACACAGAAAACCCCGGAACATTTGGTGTCATCTGTGGGGAGAGTACTTCTAAGATGGATTCACATGAGTCTGTATTGCCTTTTACTGAGAAGGGGCTTTCGGCCGAAGTCCAGGTCTACTCAGACCAGGACCATGGTGACGACTTTGGCGTCGACACCTATGTACCTGCCAACGGTTCACTCAGAACCAGGCGCACTCGTCCCTTAGAAATAAGGGGACAAGGCAATGATCAAATTGGTCCAAGTGAGCCAACTGAACAACCGTCTGGATAACCCCAGGCGGCAAAAGGCATAGCTCCAATTACTAGAGACGAACTCATGAAATTCATGACTAGTTTGAAAGGGGAAATAAATGACTTAATTGAGAAAAGGACAGCTGGCCCCAACAAGGGGCAGTCGGCCAGGAAATCTTCTCTTTCAGAGAAGAATAAACCAGTCAAGGAATGTGTCCCTACTCCACATCCTAAAGCAAAAGAGGGGAACAAGCCCTTGATTGATTTGTCCAAGATCCGATTCCCTGAGATAGGGAAAAGGAAGGCCATCCGACATGTTTAGGCGGATGGTTCAAAAAAGACATATTCCGATGCTTGGATGCTAATTGAGCAGAAGAAAAGTTAACAAATGTCTGAGTCGGCTTCAACATCGACTTACTCAAATAGCTTTCAGAATACCTTTATGAGGTATTCTCAATCAAACCGAGAGGGTCAGTCAGGCGGCCTATTCGTCCACTCTAGCCCTCAGATAATCCATTCGGCTCCGTATGTGCCTCAGCAGCCATACATGTCTTATGGACAACCATACATGCAGCCGACCCTCTTTGGAGGGTAGGCGGCACAAAATGTCTAACCTTTGGACTGGCAGCTCCGTCCGCTAAAATTTGGGGAACAACCTTCTGCGTTCTCCAAGGAAATAACCGAGGCTGCTCAGCTGGCCAAGGTTAAAAATGTTCTTGTTGGTGCCTATGATGGTACCACCAACCCAGAAGATCACCTCATGGCTTACACCAACCTCATGTATTTACAAGGGTTGGATGGTGTAGCATGATGCCGATGCTTCCCGGCCACATTAAAGGGTGTCGCCCAAAGATAGTTCGGCAACCTGCCAGCCGAATGCATTAACAACTTCAAGACACTTTCATACTTGTTTGCTTCCAACTTCTCTATGAACATCCTTGCTAAGAAAACAAGTCTTGACTTGGGTGCAATTCAGTAGGGAGATAGAGAAGGGCTACAATCATATATCAGACAGTTAGATCTGATGAGAATTAAGATTCAAGGGTTGTCTGATGAAGTGGCCTATATAGACTTCTTCAAAGGTCTGAAAGACGGGTCGTCCTTTAAGTTCGACCACGTCAGAAAGAGGGTTGCTACCCTCTAAGAAGCTCTGATGGAGGCGGATGGCTATATACAGGCGACCGAACTCTGCAACATCAGTATGCAGTCGGACTCCAAGAAGTCTGACTACAAAGAGAGTCTGCCATCACAGCCGACTAAAAAAGAAGAAAATAAAAAGAGAAAAGAGATTTGGGCGGCAGACGACTTTGAGTAGCCGTCCCAGAAGAAAAAGAAGGAATATAAATCGTACATCCCAAAGTACGAGTTTAACAAGGACTGTTACTCCATCCTCATGGAGATCAAAGACCGGGTGACCATTGAGAAGCCGGTTGCAATGAATGGTTCTGCCAAAAATCGGAACAAAAACAATTATTGTAACTTCCACGAGGACATAGGCCATGACACCAACGATTGTTATAGTTTCAAGCATCTGTTGGACCGTCAAGCTGATAAAGGGGTGCTAAAGTCATATATTCTGAGGTCTAAGGTTACCTTGCAAACTAACCATGGGCAGCCGTCCAAAAAGAAGTCCCAACCTGTTAATAGTTCGGACACTGATGAAGAATCGATCTATACTATAGCAGTCGACTTTGCTGGGGGAAGCCTAACCATCCGGGGTATCAAGGACTATCTCAGGCAGCTGGATGTCAGCTCAGTTGATGAGGGGAAAGCGTCTAAGGACACCTTCCCTAAAGTGTTCATCATTGGAAAAAAACAGGGGCAAGGTCAGGCGACCCCATGATGACCCCATAGTCATTGAATGCAAAGTGGCCAACCAAAAGGTAGGTCGGATCCTCATTGACACTAGTAGTTCGTCTAATCTCATCAGCTACAAGTGCTTAGCGAAGCTAAATTACAAACCTAGCAGCATGCACAAGGTATCTCACCCCTTAGTTGTTTTTGGGGGTGGAGTTGTGCATCCGGTAGGCCGGATTGACCTACCCATTCGGCTAGGAGAGAAGGGTGAGGGACGCCACATGGTAGTCCGATTCTTGGTCGTTAAAGAGCTGACTGCATATAATTTGATATTGGGTCGTCCCACTTTGAACGAATTCAAAGCTGTTATTATTCCATCCCTTATGCTTCTTAAATTTGAGAAGGATGATGGGTCTGTTGGCTCCCTAAGCGGAGATCAAAAGACGGCTAGTGAGTGCTTCCTCTAAGATGTCAAGCCCACGATGGCTGCATCCGGCCAGGGTGACGGACCAATAGACCTTGACAAAGTCAAGGATGCTGCGTCTGCTCCATTAGCAGCCGGCAAGAAAAGAAAGGTGGACCAGTTGGTGGCCATAAAAAAAGAAAAACAATAGCAATCATTGACCGGGGAACGGTCAGTTAAACTCCGTCCCCAGCCGGCTGGTCAACACATTGATATTGCTCTGGATGACACATGTCCAGAGCGAACTATTAAGGTTGGGACGACTGCTTTTGCAAACTTGGGTGCAGACTTGCACAATCTGTTGAAAGAATTCAAAGACATCTTTGCCTTTGAAGTGGAAGAGATGCTAGGCATCAGTCCAGATCTTGCTGTTCACAAACTTGGCGTGGATCCCAAAAAGAAGCCGGTTAGGCAAAATAAAAGGAACCATGGCGAGGAGAGATGTCAGGGGGCAGCCGCCGAAGTAAAAAAGCTGTTAGATGATGGCTTCATTCGGCAATGTTACTTCCCAGATTGGGTTGCCAATGTTGTGCTTGTCAAGAAGCCGAATGGTACGTGGCGCATGTGTGTTGATTACACAGACTTAAACAAGGCATATCAAAAGGATAGTTATCCTCTTCCAAAGATTGACAGTTTGGTCGACTTTATAGCCGGCCTTGCCTTGATGAGTTTTATGGACGCGTATTCAGGCTTCCATCAGATACCCTTGTGGAAGAAAGATCAAGAGAAGACGACATTCGTCATAATCAGGGGTTATTCTGCTATATATCGTGATGTCGTTCCGTCTGAAAAATGCGCCTACTATGTTCTAAAGAATTATTAATACGGTTTTCATTAATCAAATTGGGAGGAATGTAGAGGCGTACATTGATGATATGATAGTCAAATCCAAGCTACAGACGGATTACCTTGCCGACCTCCGAGAAACATTCTCCACACTCAAGAGCGAGGCACAAGGTCATGCTCAATCCCAAGAAGTCTGTCTTTGGTGTTGAGTCTGGGAAGTTTCTCGAATTTCTGAGTGATCAAAGGGGGATAGAGGCCAACCTAGAGAAGATACATGCGGTCATTGACATGAAATCACCCCGCACTGTCAAAGAAGTTCAAAAATTAACAGGTTACCTGGCGGCATTGAGGAG